ATTATACTGCATGTATAAAAACGAGAAAAGAGCCTTTTGGCAAGATCAACCGACATTGTTGCAGGCGTGGGTTAGAAATTCCAATGATTTTTCTTACATTGTTATAAACGCAGGTGTTTTTTATATAAAAAGCTGGAAATTGTCGGTTCATATTTACACATTGTTGGTAGTTGAAATAAACAAAACAAAAGATAATTACTCTAACTTATAATTTAGGTTACCTTCAATTATAAATGTAAAGAGTGAATAATTAATATCAAATGTGTTCTATATCAGAAGGAAATAAATTTAAAAATAATGAGAAGAGGCATAAGAAACAATTGCAATTTCATTGCCCTTATTTAAAAAGTTGTCAGTGGAACCACAGGTACGGAGAATTTGACGAAAATACGTCTATACGGAAAGGAAGTTTATATATTGGCTTTATTCTAAATATTTCCTTCATTACATGCTTTACAATTGATATAAGTTTGAATAAGACATTGCTTATTTAACTTGAATTAGTTACGCTTAAAATGGGTCTGTGGTAGCTGAATGTAACGTAATGTATTTTAATGTAATGTAATGAAATGTAATGTAATGTTTCCTAGGTAACAACAATGCTGAGTAAACAGATGAGGTTTCCTAGGTAACATAAAATGAAGTTACACTTTTTCGTTTCCCTTTTTCGTAACACATTTTTGCCGAATGACCCTTCCTTATAGACGTATTTACGTCAAAATAACGTCGGGTTTTATTTTACGTGATTAATTTTAAAAATAATTTTTCAAGGCTCCGGGGCTGTTGACCCCATCACCCCTTGCCAGGGAAAATGTTTCCGGGTTCCGCATGAGACCTGCGGTACCCATGTTTCGCAATTATGGCGTAGAAAATGGTAGTGTAATCGCCTCTGAAGTTGGCAGATCTCTCTATTCAAGGAGACTGAGATGGAATTCATAATTTTTATCTCTTTCTGGTTCTAACCCACGTCACAACGGAGACTTATATCGCTCAACAACTGAACACGTAATTTCGATCTGACCTGTTAGGTTAATATTTGATTCACCTACATTTCCACAAGATTCACACACTTGTAATATATAACATACACAAGAAAGTGTTTCAAATTTTTTAAATTAAACTGAATAATGTAACCCGTGAAACATTTTATGCTGCTAATAAATAATGCAGTAACCTGAAATGGATCTGGAACTCTGGATTCCAGCGCACAGACGCGGAGACATGGCGGGCCGACGGATATCCGCGTTGGCACTGATGATACTCTGCATGTGTAGCAGCCTCGCGTCGGAGGAGCAGACTCCAAGAAAACGAATAATTAGAGTGCAACAAGGTTTGCTGAAGGGAAAAGTTTTAGCATCTATTCGAAACAGGAGAAAGTACGTGGGGTTTCTTGGAATTCCGTACGCGAAACCTCCTGTCGCGACCTCAAGTTCAAGGTAATGAGAAGATGATAAGTAACAACGTGAGTTTTACATTGGGGTCTGTGTTTTGTGAAAAGTACATAAATCATTCGGTGCGTCGTATTCACAAAATATCGCGGTGTCCAGAGGAAAAGTGTCACCAAAATTACGAAAAAACGAACCTGAAATGTCACATCATACATAAAATAGCTAACATTGCGTGGGAGACGAATTGAATGATAATATTGACGTCTTACTTTTTACAAAACTTTCAATACACTTGTTAAAGAAACTCGCCAGTGGTCATCTGAACCCGGACAAATGGAATCCCCATCCCCACACTATTTGTGCAAGATAAATTGCATTCGATTTACGTAATTTACCGCTAGTACATTTCCCGTTTTGACCGGCTTTAAGTAGGTTAGAATTCAAAAACAGAATTTTATTAAGCGAAAGTACGGTCTTATTTCTGAAATAAATAAAGAAAACCACGAAAAACTTCAGTCAGGACAACCGGTCTCGGACCTACATCGAATCGATTGTAGGAACAAGATTATTTAATTCCCGAGGCACATTAAAAGCATAAACGCGAATTTTGCAGGAGATTTTCTTATGCTTAAAAATTTTCTATTTCGAGTCTAACAAATTGAAATTGTGTACCAGCCACAATTATTCACATACGCAAACACATCACTAAATTCTATGCTGATTTACCATTCGTGGTAATGAAGATGTCCAACAGCATGAACAATTTAAAGACGCATTCGCTGAAAGTTCTGCTCTGTTTCTCTGCCATTCGAAATATTTTTATTCAGTTTTAATTTGAAATTTGCTCGCTGCAGGCGCCTCAAGCGCCGGATCCACGGTCAGGAACTCGTGATACTACTTCGGAAGGGGAGCGACAGGACGAGATTACTGCGTCTGCGCTGCTTACAGAAAACAGAAAATGCTTTTAATAGGCAGAGTAACCATCTTTCAGGAATTTTCCTCTTATCCAGTTTTTCCGGTGCGCGTCTTCTGACGTGTTCCAATTCACAAGCAAGTGCGAATCCTTGAAGTCACTCGGCAGGACTCCTTTGACAAGGGAAAGACGTCCACTTGCACGAGACAGCAGTGGAAAACGCGAGTGGGGTGCGAACCCACAATCCCAGTGCTCAAGATGCCCAAAACTGGCTGTGGTCGTCATCTTCTATAAAATTGATTTTAATTTATTCTCACAAAACTACGAAGAATGATTGAACAGAACTCGATCGAGTATTCGAAATATCAAACTAAATCACGTACAAGAGAACTTTTTCATTTAAAATTTATTAGACAGAAATTATTGCGTTAATATGAAGAAACGCGCGGTCTGAGGCGTGGGCCTTGTGCCACTTGGTCGTCAGGTCCGTGGGTTCGAATCCTACTCAAGCCATGGATGTTAGTCCGCGTTTTTCTGTGTTATTCTGTCCTGTGTACAGGTAGAGGCCTTTCGACGGGCCGATCCTTTGTCCATGGAGTCCTACCAAATGTCTATAGATCGAGCCAAAGAAAAGTTGGGACACTCAGTGCTCAAGGCACTGAAGAACAGGAAGTCTAAATATCCTAAGTAAGTAGTATCCTGTCTTTTGTAACTCTTTTTAACAAATTTCTGTAATTGTCACGTGTTATTCCGCCTCTTTATGCAGTAGCCATATATTTTGGATACCAAAAAAACACAGTTTAATATGTGATTTAACAAACTCTTTCATCTTGAATTTTATAGAGTTCACCATATGAATGCTGAAAATACATTGGAATCACTGACCCTGAAGCCTAGTCGCTTCCTGTACCATATCAGTTCAGTGAAGTATGGTCAAATACTGTTGCCAGAGATCCCAGGCAACACTACACCAAGACTAATGGTAACTGGACACCAATGTGCTGGATACTTGTGAATGATTCCATTTAAAATACATCTGACCATGATTCTATGTCAGAAACTGCACAGTCAGAACTCACATGTCACTGATAATTGTGATACAACCCTAATTCTACTTCGCACATATCGTTACTTATATCCTCAATAATCCATTGTGACACCCTCCTAGTTGCCTGGCACAGTGGAATAAACAAAATTCTTTTAAATTAATTATTCAGTTTTGTCCGTCTAATCACAGTTATATTTAAAATTTACAAATAAGATAATTAAATTATCATTTTATGTTCCACATCGAATAATCGATATGTTCCAAATGTAAATCGATTATTCGATGTGGAACATAAAATGATAATTTAATTATCTTATTTGTAAATTTTAAATATAACTGTGATTAGACGGACAAAACTGAATAATTAATTTAAAAGAATTTTGTTTATTCCACTGTGCCAGGCAACTAGGAGGGTGTCACAAATTATTTTAGCACAGCAGTGGATATCTCACCTAATCATTTCTCTCCCCATGCGAAGCAAACAAGTACAACCTCATGTTTCTGCTTCACGAGAATATCAGTGCACATGTCCAGAACCTCGCTACAATTTCACCTCAGCACTCTCACCCTATCCGTCCATTTTTTGACGTGAATACGTCTTTAAAATCAGGCCGACGTATGGGATACCAGGACGGAAACGGCGATTAGCTGATTTTGGTGCCAAACGAAAGATCTCGTCTAGATCTGTCGATTTAAGCCATGAAAGTGAACTTTGTTGGTGACAAATTAAAAAATAAATTGTGAAAAATTTAAAATTTCTGATGTCATCAGGTGTACGACTACGATGCGAGCATGACCTTGAGTTGGCGCCGCGCATGCGCGAGGCGCGGGTGGGGGCCCGCGGCGACTGGCACCAATTTTGGGCGTGGGCGAAAATTTCCGGGCAGTATATCTCGCGACTCCGATGTGCTAGCTAGCTGATTTTGGTGCCAAACGAAAGATCTCGTCTAGATCTGTCGATTTAAGCCATGAAAGTGAACTTTGTTGGTGACAAATTAAAAAATAAATTGTGAAAAATTTAAAATTTCTGATGTCGGCCAATACTCACCGAAAAGCCCAGGGGATATACAAGCAATGCATCTCATCGGAAAGGGCGTCTAATCAACCAATTTTGGGCGTGGGCGAAAATTTCCGGGCAGTATATCTCGCGACTCCGATGTGCTAGCTAGCTGATTTTGGTGCCAAACGAAAGATCTCGTCTAGATCTGTCGATTTAAGCCATGAAAGTGAACTTTGTTGGTGACAAATTAAAAAATAAATTGTGAAAAATTTAAAATTTCTGATGTCGGCCAATACTCACCGAAAAGCCCAGGGGATATACAAGCAATGCATCTCATCGGAAAGGGCGTCTAATCAGCCATCGATCATTATCGCCATGTCAGTGGCGGACACCCCGAGTTTTTTATACTTGTTGAGAGTATGGATCGCAAAGTTTCAGAAGTGCTTACTGCAGTAAGCACCTCTGAAACATCGGTCAGTTTCTACCAGATAGCATGAAGCAATGTCCCAAAAGATAGATGTTTAAAATTAATTGTTCGGGTTGTGTGGCTACAGGGATATGGGAAAGTAGGTGTGTTATTACCGACTGGCCGCTGATCGTTCTTGAAATAGTTATATAACTTGTGGGTAGATGGCAGTTCAATATACACGTTTCGGCATAGGCTATGATGTTCTAACTTTTAACTTTGAGGTTACGACGTAAATGTTGGTTTTATCTATGGTACAATCTGATTACTGTCGAATGTCGGATAGTGGTAAACGTGAATAATATTTATGTTTGCTATTTTAAGTTGTTTATATTTAATGAGCTGTTAGAAGTTTCTAAATGTCGAAAGAAACGGACGATGTAGAGGTAAGTTCAACATCAAATTGGGGATTCGTCTACAGACGAAATAAAACGTGTAATGCACAAATGTACGTAATGGTACTATGATTACTGATTGTAAAGTATTAATTAAAGTGATTATATATAATATAACTATATTTTTCCAAGGGTAGCAATATTGTGTTGAAACTAATAGTAGGGTTTTTTCCTACCAAGTTTCATTTTGTCACCAAGTAGTAGTGAAAGCTCAACATATTTTTATTGCATGCAGTTATCAGG